TAGCTATGTTTTTTTTTTTTTTTTTTTCATTCACTTCTTTTTTATGTTTTTATTAAGGTTCTGAAAAATCAATTCGGACAATGAACCAGATTAAAGAGAAGCTTATAATTCGATGACTTGATCAGAATTGAATCGTTGTCTAACCGGATAACATAATAAATATTAATTTTATAATAATTATTTATTTAGCTGGTTTTTGAAAACTAGAGCCGGTTCACTCGTTGATCGCCAGTTCAACAATTCTCAAGTGGTTTAAGAGATTTTGGTTATATTAAAAGCCCGAATCGGCCGATAAGCTTGTTCACGATTAGCTGGTTAAACCGGACTGTCCGATGCAATTTTAAAAACATGGTTTTTATAAAGAGAGATATGCATGCCAGTTTTTTATATTTAATTTTAAGCAAAAATTAAAAAAGAAAAAAATATCTAATTCAATTTGAGAAGTGGATTTGCACTTCTTTTCCCTAACAATATCATATATTGATTTATTATCATAAAAATTGGGAAAATTATAGCCTCCAAAAGTCTATATTTTTTAGGATTAGAAAATTACATGAATTAAGATATAAGATTCAATCAATTTATGGAGCCGATGTCCAAAGAAGCACAGGATAAGTTCCAGAGATATATTAAAGCCTTTAAAAGAGTTAGTCGTGTGATTCATAAATCATATATTCTTATTGGCTCAAACTCTCAATGGAAATTCATAATAATAAAGAAAAAATTATTATGTCATCAGAATATTTATCCTATCCAACATAAATCTCAAATTAATATTTAAATGATACATTTTTAATCAAATTTAAAATCATTCAAACTAACTACAAAAAAACTAATAGATAAACTAAACATACAGACGAACCTATCGACATAAAAAGTGATCCAATATAACTTTAAATAAGCTGAAGTCGAGCATTCAAAGTATAGTTGAAAATATTAGGTCATAGATGAATGATCAAATTATATCTAAATCTTATATGCTTAGAATCAAATTGAGCATCTCATATACAAACAAGATAAGGTCATGCTCCAAGTCTCCATTAGAGGAGAGATTATTAGGTGCGGAGCGCAGGCGGGGAGAACCGTCCGCACAAGCATTGGGTACCTAGCGGTACCCGCACACCTAGTGCTTGTAAGGACGGTGTGCACTCCGCACCTAATAATTTTTACCATTAGAAAGCTTTTCATAAAATTAAAAAGTCATTAAAAAATATTAAACTCATATTTAATAAAATAAAAACTTCATTATTTTCTTTTCTAAAAATTAATATTAAAGAGAGGAAAGATACAAAACTATTTATTTACACAAACAGAAGTAGTGATTCTTCTTATTAGATTGAAAGCTGAAGAAAAGCTTAGTTTTAGAAACTGTTAAGACTTTCAAATATATGAGCACATTACTTGGTCCCTCTAAAGATTGAACACACTCTTCTAAAGTCATATTCAAGTACCTTGGGTTTTATAACCATATGGGTTCTTGCTTGCCCAGTTCCATTGGTCTCTACACATTTCTTCTATGCCATACTTTGCTCTGCAAGGAAAGAAAAGCATAACAAATTATATTACTAACAATTTACTGGTAAGCCAAAGAAGAATTAGAAGAATCCTATTTTTTTTTAGAAATGATACAGATTACAGGAATAAAATACTTAAAATTATTTTGAATTTTTGAGAAACTGAATGCCAACAAAAGACAATGTCAAGCTAGTTCGCCGGAGAGATAAGCGACTATGATATTGTATTCCTAAGAATTTAAATGTTTATGTCTTCATGAATAGGAGGCCAACTTGTCTCTTTTTCTTCTTCTCTTCTAGCTACTACCAAACACTTGCAGGTTAAATTGGGGGTATTGGTTTACCTTCAGGGTTATGAATTGATGCTAAGACTGATAAAGGTATGTGGAAACACAACAAGAATGATGGTCTCCCGTTGGGACTAAAGGTGTCAAAAATTGACACGACTCAAAATTCGGCCCGAAAAAATTCGGGATTGGGCCAACCCGTTTGTGAAACGGTTCAGTTTCGGGTTGACCCAGAAGCCCGTGGGTCTACCCGAATCGACCCGGATGTTGCATCAATCGGTCGCGTCGCTGACTTGCAGTTGCATCTCACGTCTCATGTCAATCGATAGCATCGCGTCGCAGTCACATCCCGTCAGCGCTATCGGCTTGCCGGCCACTGCCCACCCCAACTGTCTCTTGCTTTGTCGGCCTGTTGGCTGCCGCCGGCCTGTCGTTGTCACAGTGTTGCAGAGCCGAAGACAACCGTGAGGCACGAGTTGCCGCTGCCGTTATCCCGAACTGCCACTGATGCCCGCGAGATGCAGAGTCGAAGACACCCGCAAGCTGCCAGCCCGCTGTCGTCCAGCCTGAGAGCCGAATGCCATCGTCCCTCCCTCGCGGGTCGGGTCCGGGTTGACAATTCTGACCCGTTTGCAAAACCGAATGGAATTAGTGTCGACCAATTTAAGGCCTGGTCAAGTCGACCCGTTGACCCGAATTGACACCCCTAGTTGGGACAATCTATCTGGCCACAAAACGAACATGTAGGAATTTTGTTGCCTGTGATTTCAATAATCTATAGAGAATGCAAACAACGCTCTAGCTTTTCCCGCATACACCCTCCTACGTTGAAGCATCATATAGAATTTCTCTCCATCAAGCAAAATTTCATTAAAATACATATATTTTTATTGAATATTTTCCAAATCCATGTATTTTTTAAATACTAAGAAATTAGAGTTATACTAATATATTAAGAACGTAGGAAAGGATGTGCTTCGAGTTTCAAAAGGAAAAACTCATAATAATAAAAATAGTTGGTGGTGAAATCAAAATGTCTAAGAAAAGATAAAAAATAAGAAACTTTGTTATAACAATTTGTTTAGATATAAAAACTCTGAAAAATTGGTAAAGATATAAAGAAGCGCATAAGGAATCTAAGAAAACAATCTGAAATGCAAAGATTTTAGCTTTTAATTATTTATATAATAGATTAGATTCTAAAGAGTGTGAAAGACATATGTATAAGTTAGTCAAATAAAGAGATAAGAGTAATAAGGATTAAGTTCAAGTAAAGTGCATTAAGGATAAAGATAAAAAAAATACTTTTTTAGAAAGGATATTCACTAAAGGTGGATGAAATATTTTGATAAGTTTTTCAATGAAGATTGTGAGAATACGATTGACTTTAGTGATCTTAGCACTCTAAATGAAAATATAGATTTCTATTTTTATCAAAGTATTAGTAAAACTGAAGTTGGTGAGGCTTAAATAAAATGAAGTATGAAAAAACTATTATACCTGATGATATTCCAATAGAGGTGTGGAAATGCTTTGGAGATAAAGGAATTTCTTAGCTTATTAAAGCTTTTAATATTATTTTGAAGACTAAAAAGATGTCAGATGAGTGGAGAATGAGTGCGTTGATTCCTATTTTTAAGAATAAAGACGATGCATAAGATTGTGCGAATTATAGAGGAATTAAGTTGATGTGTCATACTTTAAAACTTTGGGAGAGAGTTATGGAGCATAGGTTACAACGTGATACTAATGTTTCTCAACATCAATTTGGATTCATGTCAGGTACGTCTACTACGGAAGCTATTCATTTATTGAGAGAGTTGATGGAGAAGTATAGAGAGAATAAGGAGGATCTACGTATGATATTTATTGATTTAGAAAAATCATATTATAAAGTTCCAAGAGAAGTGCTATTGAGAGTTCTATAAAAGAAAGGGGATAATAATACTTATATTCAAGTCATTAGGGATATGTATGTAAGAGTTGTAACTTGTATTCAAACACAAGGTAGTTTAATCAAGTATTTCCTATTTCAGTTGGATTACATCAAGGATCAGTCTTAAGCCCTTATCATTTTTGCTTTATTCATAGATATTCTTACCAGACATTTAAAAGAGGATGTAACCTAGTATATGCTTTTTGCTAATGATATTCTTCTTATTGATAAGACTAGAGAGGAAGTTGAAGGTAAACTCGAATTATGGAGGTCAACCTTACAAGTTTAAAGGTTTTCGTTTAAGTAGATCTAAAATTGAGTATATGGAGTGTCATTTTAGCAGTAAAAGATCTAGTGGGAGGTTTGTGACTTTGAGCAAACATCAATTCATTAATAAGTGTACTTGTTTTAGATATCTTAGGTCTATTATTTAGAGTGATGATGAAATAGATGAGGATATTATTAGTAGAATTCAAGTTGGATAGTTGAAGTCAAGGAATGCTTTGGGTTTGTTTTGTGATAGAAAAGTCCCACTCAAATATAAGGGAACATTGTATAAGATGGTGGTGATACCTATAATGCTTTATAGCGCAAAATGTTGGCCATTAAAAAAGAAGCATAATAATATTAAGTGTTGTTGATATGAGGATGCTCAGGTGGATGAGTGGACTTACTCTTAGAGACAGGATACGAAACGAACATATCCGTGAAAAGATTAGAGTAGCTCAAGTGACAGATAAGATTAGAGAGAGTCGCCTTAGATGGTTTAGTCATGTAAAACGACGGCCTTCTGATGACCCTATTAGGAGAGTAGATGTATCATATTTGGCCTACGTTAAGAAAGGTAGCGATAGACCTAAAAAGACTTAGTTAGAAAATATTAGAAATACATTTCTTTACAAGATTTAAATGAAAATTTGATTATTAAAAGAAAACAATGGAGAAAAAGGATTCATATAGCCGACCCTGCGTAGTTGGATAAAGGCTTGATGTTGTTGTTGTAAGTAACTAGAGTATATGCATTTAAGAAATAAATAAATTTTTTGGTTGGATGCAAAATCAAATGCACTTAAATATAGTAGTCAGGTGGAGAGGGAGAGGGAGAGGCGGAGCGAGCAGACCAGTGGTTAGCAGACAAAAATCATGAGTGGTGTGTGGAATTTAAAAATCACCCAATTTGAATGAGTTTCAAATGTGGGGAAAATAAGAGTTTTGGGGTATTCAAAGCCCTCAAAAATTTACTTTGCATTTTGTTTTCTTCAAACCAAACACCAATAAATTTGGAAAGCAATGAAGAGGAATAAATTAAGTCTCCTAATGCTTTCAAGCAAACAGCTCCTAAGTGCAAAGGAAAGATGGTTATACTGTTAATTGACTACTCAAGAACTTACCTCCAACCAAGCTCCTTCTCAGCCTTCTCTGTCAAAGCGTAGACTTCTGTAGCATCACCAGGCCTCCTTGGACACAACTTCAAAGGAATTTTCTGAACAGTTGTTCAAACAGAATTAAAGAACCAATATTAATTTTTTAATTCTGAAATGGAAAGAAAAAAAAAAGTCACCTTGCCGGAAGCTTTCTCAAAAGCAGAAACCATCTCAAGGACAGAGGTACCACGCCCAGTTCCTAAATTATAGGCAACACAACCTGCAAAACCAAATATGAGTTCCAAGCATTAAGAAGTAGCAGAAACTGGAAAGAGAACATCTAAACAAAAAGAGCTGACAAGGATTACCAATGTCATCTGTAAGGAAAAGCTTCTGAAGAGCTGCTATATGACCATCAGCCAAGTCCATGACATGAATGTAGTCACGAATCTGGTTAAAATGATGAATATGAAAATTGATTACTTAAAGTTCTTTTGTAGCAAGAATTTGTAATTAATGAGAACTTCTGAAGTGAAAAAACAAAAACCATTCGGCAAGATGATGGCAAGCCATGCGACAGTGTTTAGTTGTCTTTATTAAATTTTTATTTGTCAATATGCCTAGTGAGGGAAAAGAAATTTTTGTAGCTTGTTCAGTTGGAGAGCCCGTTATTTATAATAGAGAAGTTGAATATAATATTAAGAGAAACAAAAAAAATAAACATAGCCTACAAACTATAAATAGGACACTTTTCAGTAATATGCTAATGCTTATACTCCACCTCAATGTGAAGCATATATATTAATGAGCTCTAATTGTTGAAAGTTTGAAATTTTGAAGTGAATCTAAAACCTTGGTAAATATATGTGCCAATTGAAATTGGAAATACAAGTAATAATGATCTTTGATAACACCGCATCTCAAATAAAGTGCATGTCAGCTTAAGAGAATTGATTCATGCATGAAACACAGGATTACTGGCAACACAATTATCACAATTTAAGACATGGGTACTTCAATTAGAAAACTAAACAACCAGAACGAACTTACCTAAAACATCTCATGTTAAATATGCCATGGTTCTGTATTTTGCCTCAATACTTAATCTAGCCACCATAATTTCTTTCTTACTCTTCCATGGGACCAAGTTACATCCCATAAATATGCAGTACTCACGTGAATTTTATATCACCAACTGATCTAGTATAATCAACATTAAAAAAACTTCATTATTAAGGTGCCCAAGTAACTTTTTGATATATCTAAGAACATGCAAAAAAATTTCCCACAACCTTTCTAAGAGTTTGCATGTGTTGACTTACAAACTCCTACAACAAAGGTGATATCTAGTTTGGTTACAGAAAAATCATTTTATCATCCAGCCTGTAATAATGAGGCACCCTAAAAAAAATCCTATTTATTAGGAACATTCTGAGTGCCAATAAGGTATCACTAAAAATTAATTTCCTCAAGAAAGTTGGCGGTATAGTTTCTTTGAGAAAAAAAAATTTCTTAATCGTAGGATAATTATATTTCTAAAATTAATTCAGGATGATCATGATCTTCATTTATAAAACATTTTTGGAAAATCTTTTATGTTTGTAACCCCTTCTTTATCACTCTATAAAACTATAATTTTATCAATATAACTAGTCAAAATGGCAGGGTTAGATAGAATCAAGGGTCAAAAATGTTAAATGTTGATTGTGTGAGGTGCGGGTATTGCGCGAGGAAGGGTAGCGAAATCAAGCGCATACATTGTGGAGTTTATCGGCTAGGATGGTGATGGGAAAGGCGGAAACTAAAGCTAGGACTAATCTCGATCTGATACTAAATAAAGGAAAATATATTTTTCTACATATTATTCTGCTGACCTTTGTCGTTTAAAAAAAAAAAAAAGAATAAAAATGTGTATGAATGATTACCTGTAGCCAAATCCTACTCAAATCGTTGCTCTGGTCACTACAGTCCTGTCGCCCATGCCCTGCGAACGAGATGCCATTTCAGAGTCGTCTCACGCGTGCCTCGAAGAGCTGCCCTCTCTATCGTTAAAACGCAAGCGAAATAGAGCCTTCGGGCTCTCCTCCACAAATCCCACTATGCTTCTCTCGCTCGTTTTCCTTAGGCCAATGCCCCTTCCCATGATCAAACCTCCACGCAAGCCTTCCCTGTGCCCGACATCTCCAATCAACGAAGCCAAGGCCAGAGCCGGCCAAATCCCATCTCCTCTGCTTCGCAAGCCTCCAGCGTCGCTCACAAGACCTGTAACCAACATCCCGCAAACTTCCTCAACACAACACCTTCTCTTTTACCGATTTCCTCCCACCCATCAATCCTTCTGCCCTCATCTCATACATACTCACAATCACAAGCTTCGAACACTTCCTCCCTTACCTGTAGCCGCAAATCACTCCAAAGGCCGACGACTTGCTCCATTCCTCCTCCCACCTCATGTCGCCTCCTGTCCGTCTGCTGGATTCGACCCAACAAGCCGCAGACATCAATCAGAAGCCGGACTCCACCAAGCCCTAGCACCGACCGTCCCTCTACCTTGTCCGACCCCATATCCGAAGACTCTCAGACCTCTCAACCTCAGTTGCCTCATCTAGCCGAAGCCTTAGACCCAACCCGGCTTCAAACCTCTCGCCCGACCACCCACACCAACCCTAGCCTAAACCAAGCCGCCTCCCTCTTCTGGTGAACAGGCCGAACACAACCCGGTCACTATACATTCTTTTATTAGCGTGGTGGGAAGTCCCAGACTCTTGTAGTTTTCTCCTAAATGGGGGAAACGCCAGGAGGCTGCTGAAATTTTGTCTAAAAATGACAAGATTTGGACAATTACATAGGACCTTATTTGCACCTAAATGAACTACTAAGGACCATTACTGAACTTGAACCCAAATGAACTATGTGTAACATGGCTTGTAAATTTGGACCATGTAAAAGTCCAAACTTGGCCAAGAAGAATTTAACTGAACAAGACTACAAAAGACCTGAATTGAATTGAATGCAAAGAACCAGAACTTAATTCAAATAGCAAGGGGGCAGAAGATGCATACTTGAACATAATGCAGAAAATTTGAACTCTATAAAACTTGATTTGAACTTAAATGGTCTGGACCGCAAGGGAATTGAATTTGAATTTATAAGGGAATTAGACATTAATTAACAAACATATGGCTATAATTAAAATATGGATGTTAACAAGTGACCCTAATCATCCAACAAAATTTTTTAATGAACACAACATATTTACAAATAAATGCAAGAAAGCTATAGACCAGATATCATTTTTTTTCTTTTTTTTTTTCTATAGACCAGATATCATGTATACTCTTGGTGTAGGGAATTTGCAACACAAAGGAGTCGAAATTAAATGCAAAAGAACACCTGTGAAACTTGAGGTGAATAAAAGACTTACAAATACTACTTGTTTATAAGTAGTGATGAATTGTGAACAACACAATCAGATTTCTTGCTATGATATGATGCTGTTAATAAATAACATGACTTCCTTGCCATAATCAACACTAATCAAAGATGACATATAAGATAGATGCAAATGAATAAATAGAACATGTTTGAAGATAAAGAACTTGCAAGTTCAACTTGTTTACAACTGATAAGAAGTCTGTGAAGGATGTGACTCGACAACAAAACCATATTGTGGACTTTTGGACCATGCCAATCGACTCATAGTATTGGATCTAATTCATCCTTAAGCAATATCAGTGAGAATTGAAAGGCATGTGGCAGTATATCTATGATCAATAAAGTCGAGTCCCTTACAAATGCTCACAACCTTCGTGCCAAATGGGAGATAGGTATCGAAGGGACAATAACTATTGGGAGCATTCTGAAGTCATCTTCAAGGATGAAAGAACCATGATGCACATAACCAGCCACATATGAACGATAGTAGAAGATTATGCAGAATGTAGAAAATGCACGTTGGATATATTGGCTTTCTTATGACAGATATCGAGTAGCACATGGATAAAGACTATTGAGGGCTATGGGCTTCGAGGATTGATGCACAAGGGACATACAAATTCGTCAACCAATGTGTACGATGACGCCAGGGATCCATAAGAGACATTAACATATTTGTAAGTGATGACCATCAATAGACGATGAACATTACAGTGTTTGAAAATCAACACTTATTGACATACGGGCATCTGCAATGGTCCCTACGAATGTTGAAATTCATGCGAGCTAACACAGCAGCTCGTCGGTCAATGAGTATAAGGTATCTATGTTAGATGCAACGATGTCAAGCATTCAGTGTCAACACATAATGAGTTGGCGATGGAGATGCATTCAAAAGTCTGAAGCAAATGTCGTCTTCATACAATCAGTATTTACTTGATTGCAGGTGGATGTATTAGTCCCGTATCAATAAAGATGTGCAATATACAACAAATACAATAAAATGTCTATGTCTGTTAGTGACAAAGTGGCAGACGATATGACGCCATTGCAATCAATAGTCACACAATATCAAGCCATTACATCGGTCTCCTATCAATAATAACGGACAACATGTAACAGATGAAGACACTATAACACCTCCACAACCAATAATTGTCTAACATTAGCCCAACACACCTGCCATTCCAATCATCTCAAGGACTCCAACAATCATTTTAGGAATGGATGTCTAGCAAGATTCTCCTAAATGATCTGATGCGCCCTCAATTGTTACAACCATTAGATTGAAGCAGTGGCCATTGATTTGGAAGTAAAGGACATCAACAAAGACACAGCCATCCAAGGTTGAAATGATTTATTTTTTTTATTATTTAATACAACAACAGAAAATGATGATGGCACAATTAGAGAGCTGCTTGTTGATTCTCATACTAGTCATGGGAAAAAAAAAACCATATCAAATCATTATGGAGTGAGTAAATATCAATTCAACCAAGTCCCAAACATTGAGTTGGATAAGATCATCGAGGCTTGCAAGTTATTTGACAAACAGTAGTCATGCATCTAAAACATCATCCGCAGGCAAATGCTAAAAGGTTTACGACAAAGTGAACTTCTATGAGCCGTCGAAGAAGACCCGTCATATGCCCAAAAATGTCCCCTTCATCTACAATGTAACATGTATGCACATAGGTACACAAAGAGACATGTGCAATCATACACCCGTACAAGCCTCGGCGAGCGTGTTACGGGTACACACATGACGTTTAGGGATGCTGCGCGGTTAAATAAATGAACCATAGTTCGAGCCCGATCCTTCTATATGAATAGATAGGAAGCGACACGACTCGAGCTATCAAATAGATATATGGTCAAGATGTCGACCGAAATATTTTTTTTATACGTTCATATAAGACCTTCAAAATCTATGACAAAATAAATTTATCAACAAAGGCATAAAGCCTACAATACCCGATCATGTGTAGACAGCTCGATAGAGTCAACAAGGTTTAATATGCAAATAGAAATGACCCCAAACACCCCGATGATGATCATGTTGAATGCAAATCTAAACTGGAGGGGTCCATTCCATATAATCCAAAATGTCACCCAAATACTTGAAAAATTCAAAAATTCCAAAGATCATCCAAGTCTAGATTATTTAAAATTGAAATAATCCATCAAATTATTTAAAGCAAAATACATCCATCATCCACAATAGTTTGCTGGGGTGGACAAATTGAAATTTACTTCAACTCACGTAGAGCTAATGCCTAGTCAAAGATATCCTTAGGATCTATTCTCAAATAATCTCCTGCCAGTAAGGGTGTGTTACATGTCTCCTGACCGGCGATTTTGTCGCCAAATGACAACTCAGGATAAACAGTTATGACCCGGGGCCCTCTGAATTGAGTGATTTTTTTGCCAAATGGCCACTAAATTATGGTTATGGCCAGAACCAATATATTTCTTAGTGGCATCAAATTCTTGAGATATGAATAAATAAAATATGATCGATAGGGCATAAAGCCCTCTATTAGTTAAAGTGGATTCAAATTTGTCCCCTTAAACAAATATCCACCCCAGGTCTATAAGGTACCCTTGGAAGAAGCAACCCATGGCTGTAGACAATGATCCTTTTATCAGGTTGGATCGACTAACTCCTCTGACTAAGTAGACCAGGGACAATGATGGCCCGGGACGATGAAACCATGGGATCTTGATCGGGTCCATCATTTTTTCCCCCACCATCCGCTTTAAGTGCAAGATAGTGAAAGCTTCAATTTAATGGCTTCTTCCTCATCTAAGGATTTCTCAAATAATTTGTTACAATTCTTGTGTTAGCTTTATTTAATTCATGAGTTACTACTTCCATCTACGATATCAAAATTTCAGCACTAAAATGCATTGATGTAAGATTCTTAGCTTATGCTATCCCAAGTCAAAAGAGCATGGGTCAATGAACAATAAGCTAGGATGCTTCAAGCTAAATGAACATATTGAGTATATTGTTGGTGAACAAACATCTATAACAACCTTCCAGGCTTCCAGCTGAAGGGGCATAGCAATATAAACATTCATTCGTGAATCAAAATGCACAATAAAAGAAAATCATATGATAAACAATCGAAATTCACAAACAAGAAGGATAACATACAAAAATACAAAATCCAAATAATTAACTAAAAGGATCTCACACTTCCTTTAAGAGAAGAAACAGTTATTATTAAGCTGAAATGAACTAGAAACTATAGTTCAAATACAAATTTCGAATAATGGCCATAACCCTTTGAGCAATTAAATAGTGACAACAAAAAATGGTGAAGCAAATTTACCGCAGTCCCATCCTTCGTTGGATAGTCAATGCCATACACATTCAGTTCAGGCAATCTGCCCACAGCAACACGTTGAATATAAGGCATAAGATTATTAGGAATGCCCTTAGGGTCTTCACCAATCAGGCCACTTTCATGAGCACCAACAGGATTGAAGTATCTTAAGAGTATAATTCTCCATTCTGGATCAGCCTTTTGAATATCACAAGCAATTTCTTCAAGAAAGAGCTAACACCCAAAAATTATAATGGAACCAAAATGTCAAATAATCTCACAATGTATAAGATTCCATGCCTGCCATTATGTGCCCACTGAAGAGCTTGTGAAGATATTATAGATTTAAACTCAATCAAATTAGAAAAACAAGCCATCGACATACCTTGGTTCGACCATATGGGTTCATTGCCTTTAACTCAAAATCTTCAACACATGGAATTTTTTCAGGTTGACCATAAACAGTAGTAGATGAGGAGAAAACCATCTACATTACAATAAGAAGACATGCGAGTGAATAAATTGTAGAGATTAGATGCAAATAAGAACAAAGCATGAAGATGGTAGTCAATGATTCTAATTCATAGCCAAAAATAGCAAGGGCACAAAAAAATTCAAGTGTATAAATGATGTACCTAATACATTTGATTCAGATATTGTTATGCAACCAAATCAATGGAAGAAATTTTAATCTATAATGTAAGCCAAAATAATCATTAGATAGACAAAGGTACGAAGAACTGAAAAGGAAACATGATTTTTGAGGTCCAGGGTATTTAAAGAACAACAAAGAATGTTCACAAGAAACTAAATCAAAACATTAAAAAAAACATTAAAAAATATGTACGTTTGTTTCCATCAACAGATCAAATTAACAATGTAAGATCTATCCCTAAGGGAACCTTTTTAGTAAAAATAAATTAGAAAATCAATAGTTAATAAATAGGCATACTATATGAGAAATATCAATACAACCTACCTTTTTGCATCCATATTTTGTCATAAATTCATATAAATTCAATGTCCCGATCAAATTATTGCTGTAATACAAAAGAGGTTTGGCAACACTCTCCCCAACAGCCTTCAGCCCAGCAAAGTGGATAACAGCATCAAATCTATCCAATTCAAATGAAACAAAATCAAACAAAATTATAATGTCAGATAACAAATAGTCCCAATTCGATCAATACTGTTTAGAGAATGGAGCATTTGGGGGTCTCTAGTTGAGTTCACTACACTAATAAATGGGCACCACTTAACCTAAAAACTTAATCAAATGAATAAGACATACTAGTTATGTATTAAAAATTGAACTCTTACTTCAATTGCAATGTGGGATTATTGTTCACACTCATGCGAATTTCACCAATCTCTCTCTTAGATGAGAGTCCCATACATAGATCATCACTTTCAAATATAAACTTTTTAAGCCGATGAAGTGTTTGGAGACTAAAATAAGGCCTAATACACAAATAGATAAACACTCATCAACCCTAAAAACATAACCTAATGTGTAAGAAACAATGCATCTCACATTGGTATGTTGGTTGGGAGGAGCTTTAGCTAGCAATCAAGAGGTTTTGGGTTAGAGTCTTTATGTGTGTGTTTTGGGTTAGAGTCTTTATGTGTGTGTAAGACTGTAAGTTTACTTGATTGGTCTCCCCCCGCCCACCCAAACAAAAAAAAAGTGTAAGAAACTCAACAAATGTCATGTTTAAGGGTTGTTTCGTTCAGTGACATGCAGCGTCATATTATGTGACACCCAAAGCAAGAAATGCGCATCAAATTTTTATCTTTTACACTCCAAATCAAAATATGCAATCATAAAACACAGGAATCTAGGGGAGAAAAAAAATCTTACCTTGTCTCGGAAAACACTCTTTCCAAATCGTCATTGCTCCGTAGATCACCCTGCCATCCAAATGAGCCAGCAAAATCCCAAATTACAACCCAAACGAGCAAGAACAACAAAACCGAGCATTACCAGATGGAATCGAAGATTGCGTGACAGATCGGGACCGGCAAGATCCCTCACGCGGTCTACCGCCTCTTCCACAGAGTTGTCGAGGTTGTCGATGATGGTAACCCTAAACCCTTCTTTGAGGAGCTGGAGGACAGTGTGTGTTCCGATGAAACCTGCGCCACCGGTGACCAGGATGTTTTGAATACGCGCTTCAGATCCCATTGAGGCTCCAAGAGAGAGAGCACGAGCAATGCCAGGTGGCTTGGATGACAATGAAGAGAGAGAGGATCTCGGTTTTGGGGATTTAATGGACCTCTCTCTAATTTGTCTTTAGGAATTGGAGAGGAAAAGGAGAGGGAGAAGTTGGATAGGAGTTAGGATGGTGTTTAATATTTGAATAAAATAAAAAATAGAATTAAATTGATTTAATTTGACTTTAAAGATATTTATTTAATTATTAATTGTAATTTTATTTTTTATAATTTGATTATTATTTTTTTATTAAATCAGTTAATTTAAACCTTAAATTATATTGGTTTTTTAAATATTAAATCAATAAACTCAGACAGATAAATGAAATAAAAATTAATGCGGATATAATATTTCATATGTCAAGATTATAAATTTTTTCAAAGATTATTTAATATTCTTCTTAATATATATTATTTAAGCTAAAATAATTAAGCTAGCTATTAAAATTAATTTTACTTTGATTCATCTAAAATGAACCAAATTTACCAAATTAAAATTTGATTCTATTTAATTCAATTTGAAAGATAATTTAGTAAATTCAATTTTATAAATTATATGATTGAAACCAACAGGTTTAACTAATTCATAAACTAAACTATTCAACTCGGCCAAATGCACAAACCTAAATTTGGATTTCGGATTGAGGGATATTAGAACGGGAATTCAAATATATATATATATATATATATATGTTTAAATTTTTGGTTAATCTTGGTCTCTTTGCCTTTTCTAAATTTTCACCCATGAGAAAAAGCCTCCTTATCCTCAATATTTGAGCTTTTAAATTCCCTCAATTTTGGCTTAACTTTTTTATGCACTTCCCATAAATCCCACCAAAAATTAATTGGCCATCAAAAGGGTTGTTTTTTTTTTAAGTTTCCTTATCGTTTTTAGTCCTTACATTAAAAGCTGGCTTCCTCCGTTTTTGGACATAAATGATTCCCCTGTTGATTTCCCCCTAGATAGCGCCCCACCTACCCCAGCTTTGGAAGAGGCAAGGCTTTCTATGTGGGGGCAGTCAAGGAAGGAATCCCGCCATATCCCCTGCCATGGGGAACATTTGGGAAGTCCTTTGCAAAAAGTGAAGGAATGGAAAAGCCCCTGAAAAAAGAATTGGCGTACTGAAGATACCATACCTTCGTGGTGGGGGTCCCCATAAGGTTTCCGTTTGATAAGGAAAATTATTTTCTTCCCTAAAGCCCGATATTCAATCACAATCGTTATTGTTAAGTTTCCTCTATAATTTAACAATATATATGGCCCATAATCTCATACTAAATAAGCCACATAAAGTTTACAATTAAAAAAACCACCCAGTTTTGTTTTAGCTGTAGGTTTTAAAAAGGCCAAAGCCTCTTGGGGTTACACGCCATTTTTTTTTTTACTGAATTCCCTCATTGCTAAGTAACATTTTTTGGGGGCCCAGAATTGTGGGAAAGTCCGGAGATTGTGGAAATTTTGGAACTCCAGAAAAGCAAGGATAGGTTTATGTTTCCAATGATAGATCAGGGTTTTGAACCTGGAAATGATATAGAATATTAACAATGATAAAAACCATTTAAATAAATAATATAAGTAATAATGGGAATTTTAAATAACTAATAAACTATTCAAATAACAAAAAACCTATTGTTGTTAAACTAAACATAATTTCCAATCTTCTAAATTTGACTCTTAATAATGACAACAATAGAGAAAAGGATTTCATGTAGCCGACCCCAAACGATGGGAACCATATGACTTGTTTTGTTATGTTTTATATTCATCTTTTTAAAATTTAAATTCCTTTATTACATAAAAATAAGTATACATAATATAAATAAAAAAATAATGTTAATTTAATGTTTAATTATTTTATGTATTCAGTTCCCTCTAGCACGGATTCCCCATAAGTCCAGGAAATGAAGAAATCCGTAGGAGGGTCAAACTTTTGGATCCGTTCCACAAATTAAAACATCCTCTATATTTGGGTGGTTTGATTTTAGGAAGCATATAATTGAGAGCAATAACATGATCTTATTATTGTTTTTTTAATTAACACATCCTTGTTAAAATAGAATTTAATAAATAGGGAATAAATTTATATAATAATTAGTTCTTTCCCCCCTCTTTGTCAAATCTTTTTGCCATTAATATTCTAAATGCTGTAATTTTTCAACACTTAAATAATTTTATCCTATTATATATTTTTAGTTTTTAAAAAATTTCCCTCCTCCTTCCTA